TCCCTGGGGGACTCCTCTTCTCACCAGTTCCCATTCAGAAAACGTGTCTCCAATTTTAAGTGTGGTATTGTTGCAGAAAGGTAGCTCCTCAAGAGTTCAATGCTCATTTCGCTAAGATCATTGGCCTTGAGTCTGGCCAACAAGAGGGCGTGAGGAATGCTATCGAAAGCCTTTGATAAGTCCTTAGAAACAATCGTTACAGTCTCTTTACTATCACGACTTCTCCAGTCTTCTGTCAGTCCTAATAGAGGTGTTTCGCACTGTAATTTGGTCTGTATGCAGAGATGAAATTGTTGCGAAGGTATAAACGAACTCCAAGATGACAACACAACGCGTTATTAAAAAATAATAACAGAAAGAAATGGCGAGGCACGATCAAAACACTCAACGACGCACGGCAAATCCCAAATCCCAACAGACTCAGCGCAAACCGCATGGTTTTTATCCACAAAATCACTTGACAGCTGTCTCTCTTTGTCTCACAAAAAAAGCATAACACAAGGTTATGACACGTAAAGTCACGCTCTTCTCAACATTCCTCTTACCCGCACTGAGGGGACTGCAGTGTGTATTACACGGTCAGTTTAACATTAACTGATCTCAACTAAGCTCGCTTTGAAAAAGTGGTACCAATTTATGGATTGATCTCACCACAGTTTTGTCTCCTACTTGAACTTTCGCAACGCGTGGATGTCTGTCCTGACCAGGATACGTCCCCAAGATACGTCCTAATGGCCACTGTGCTTGTGGCAGCTTTGGATCCAGAACCTACACGATGTCCCCTTCCTTTAGGTCCTTGACGACTTCAGTCCACTTGAGAGAGCGTTTAGAGTAGGTAAATACTCTTTTAACCATCTAGACCACACTCGAGAGATTAACTCTTGCACCTTTAACCATCTCTTCCTTGGATTGAATCTTATAGTACCAACACTCTCCGGTGCAAACTGTCCTCCCATTTGTCCATACAAAAAATGATTGGTGTGGTCAGTTCTTCATCCGTGATATCACTGCTTCTCAGAACAGCATATATTGCCTTCTTAGCGGCTTCAAACATTATTTCATGTACTCCGCCGAAGTGGGAACCTCCAGGAGGGTTAAATTTCCACTTTATTCCCTTGTGTGTAGTCATACGCTGAATCTTATCCTTGTCCATCTGGTTTACAAGCTCCTTCAGTTTATTGTCAACACATTAAGAAAACTATCAGTATCGAGCCCCCACGCTACTTCAAGATGAACAACACGAGTCGCTTAGCATGTGAAGACACACAACCACCTCTTTAAGTAATAACAATAAAATAAGAAATGTTTTCTTTAACCAGGGCGACCTCTTCAGCATAAAATGCTGATATCAATAAGGGCCCTGCAAAAAAAAAACTAAAAAGCCTAAATACAGTCACCATCTTTAAAAGTAATTAAAAAGCTTGCGATCTATAGAATTCTAAAATACGAGTTTTAAAAATCATGACTCAGTTAAGATCCCTCAGTTTATTAGGAATATCATTAAAAAGTTTTGATCCATTAAAATAAAGACTTCCTTACAGTCTCAATTCTCACTTTGGGAAGCATCAAGTTCTTCCCACTTCCCCTCGTGTTGTGGATAGTTCTAAAAACCTTAAAATAATCTTTAAAAAACATTAGAGGGGATCCCTTTAAGCATTTGAAAGTCAAATTAATAGTATGCATGTCACGCCTCATAGACAAGGGAAGCCACTTTAAATTCTTCTCGGCGTCTGAATCTTTGGTCTTCAAGACAATCTTTGCCGCCCTTCTCTATACACAATCTAACCTATTACGTTCTATTTTCCCAATGCTGCTCCATGTAACTTCGCAATAATACATAACGCCCTTGGATGGTGGTGAAGGGACCTGCGTAATCTAATGCTGTCTCTAAGTGTTTTTACACTCATTGCACTCGTTCTCCCACGCTCTTATCTCCTCGCGGGCTGCAACAATCCAGAACCTTCCAGTGAGCGGCGATAACACAAAATTAGTCCCAGCACTATGATTAACCATCTCGTGGAAATACTTGACTGTCAGCCTTGTCACCCACTGACCCCTTGGCAGTATAACAGGAATCTCGCATCATACGGAAGGCTTTTCAGCAAATTGAAGTCGACCATTACACCGCATTACACCTAGATCATCCAACCAAGGACACACCTTGCTCAGCGAACTCTTCTTAGGAATTTCCTTTCCTTTTGACAGCACCATGTACTCTTCGGGAAAAGCTGCTAACTGTGCTTGGCTAACAATTTCTTCCTCTGCATCTTCAATCTCTTCCTATAACAGTTCTAGCTCTGATACCTTCTCCTTGGGGTCGCACATAATGTAGATTACCTGCCACACTCTCGCTTCTAGTTGCACTAAGCGTGTCCAACTGGAAAAACGTGTAGGTGCTAGCCTCCAGGTATCACACATTGGTTCTGTTTCGGTTTCTGTAAGGGACAGGTTAAAACACTGGTGACATCTTCTACTCCCTCCATGTAGTTTGATGTTCTAATTTTTGGTAAAGTTGGGGGAGGACCTCTAACATCCACCTTAGGCCAACTTGCCTTGTCCCTCGACAGCAGCCATTTTGGGCCTTGTCATCAAAGTGAATTGTTTCTTAGCTCATCTGGTGTCGCTCCTCTTGTACAAAGATCAGCTGGGTTCTCTGTTGCGGCTACGTGCTGCCACTGTGATGGTTCGGTCACCATCTGATTCTCCCCGATGCCATTTACTAAGAAAGGACGAAAGCTTTGCCCATGTCCACGAACCCACCGCATCCATGCTATCTGAATAAAATGTTACAACCTGCATGGGTAGTCCTAGCACAATGATCAAATGCTGCGTCAGCCCTAAGCCTAGTACCACTCCCATTTGCTCCAGTCGGGGCACAGTCATAGGCTTCAGTGGGGCCACCTTGGATTTTGAAGCAATTAATAGACTTGAAGTGGTACCATCACTGTTTACGCACTGCAAATATACAGCAGTTCCATAAGCTTGCAATGAAGCATCCACAAATGTGACAACTCTCTTGTCGGCTACTTATTTTGCGTCTTGGAGACCCCTAGGCACCCCTAGACAGGCTTCTGAGCTGCCCATACCAGCTTCCAATTCTACCAGCAACCTCATCACATAATACATCATCCCAGTAATATCCCTGTGACCAAGTCTCCTGAACAAGAACTTTAGCTTTGATGACAAAAGGACTGACTGAACCCAGCGGACCAAACACTGTAGCAACCTTTCTCGGTACATTCTGCTTTGTGGCAGAAGCGCGGTGGATTGCTCTGCAGTCGAAATGATAAGCGTATCATTTGTGCTAATTCAGGAAATTCCAAGTGTTTTGACAACAAGCTCCTGTCCTTCGGTAATCTGCAACTCAGTTGCTCTATCATCTTCGGGTGTGCCCTAAACAACTTCCGGAGAATTTGATATCCACTTTCTTGCTTTCATGCCGGCAATCCCCCAGAGACTGTCCAGCTCCTTGTACAACTGAATACCTTTTTCCACAGTCTCCACACTATCAATTGAGTCATCCATGTAAGTGGATTTCATCACAGTTTCGGCTGCCAATGGATACTGATGTTGGTGTCTTCTGGCATTTTCTTGAACAACAAACTGAGCCTCCATTGGACACAATTACGCAATACTACACGACTGAACTCATAGACATCAGGTTTGTGGCTGGAATCAAGGTACCTCCACAAGATTCGAAAGTAAAGACGATCACTCTCCTCAATTTCCACTTGCAGATGCATCTATTTTATGGCTCATGCTAAAGCGACAGGGTTCCTCCTGACCTAATAAGCACATTAAACAAATCTTTCAGTAATTTAGGACCTACACAAATTGCGTCATTCAACGAAACTCCATCTGTTTTCGCTGAACAGTAAAATACAATGTGTACTTTAGTTGTAGTCTTGTCCATGCGAATTACAGGAAAATGGGGCAGATACCAAACCTCTGGTGGAGATGGCTCCCCCAGCTCAACCTTTCGCAAGTACCCTTTTTCAACATAGCTGTGAATAATCTGCAAGTAATCTGCTCCAAGAGCACAGTCCTTCTTCAGCTTGTTTTTTGTACCGCATAACCGAGTTAACGCAGTATGACGATTTTCAGGTAGTTGAGGTTTATCTTCCTACCATGGTACACCCACTCTGTAACCTTTTCCAGTGTAACAAATAGATTCCTTAACTTTCTTTAAGGCTTCATTCTCCTCTTTCGTGACAATCAGAGTATCCTGGCCCTCCAAGCCACAGTTCTCCACCTCCCAAAATTTTCTCAAGGCACGATCAATATCACAGCAGACACTGTTAGCGCCGACATCGGGCTTTCTGGTAAACAAAGTGCAACTGACATGTGTCCTTGCCCCTGTCCACTGCCCTCCTTCTCACTCGGCGCATGAAAAGTTTTCCCTCGCGAATAAAGACCCAGCCGAATGTAAAGCCGATTTCCGAGTGGAAAAGAGGGATATTCCTTTGCTTCTTGACGCATTAAGAGTACCTCCTGTCTTCCAATGCCGCAATGGAACAATTTGCGATGGAGTCCAAGGCCTTGTATAATGCTGAAGAGGTTTGCTTACCCGTGGTATTCCAACATGATTCCTATTTTTGGACGATGCGTGCCAGAACTTAGCTTGATTAGTAATGAGGTTGTAGACTGGATGTACACAACTCATGGACACAAAATAACACAGTCGAATCACGACCTTTTAAATCCAGCTGCACTGAATCAGTATGCTGATGCCATTAGTAATAAAGGAGCAGCACTGAAAATTTGTTTTGGTCTCATAGATGGAACTGTGCGCCCCACTTCTAGACCGGATGCAAACCAGAGAATTGTATACAATGGACAAAAACGGGTTCATGCGCTTAAATTTCAGTCTCTTGCGCTCCCAAATGGATTAATTGACCATCTATATGGTCCTGTTGGTAGGTACATGTTATAACGGGACACCCAATTCAAGTTCTTTGGTGCAATGTTCTAATTTTTAAAACTTTTTTCTTTTTTTTTTTTTTTTGAAAGAAGGAAGGATGCACGATGCACGAATGTTGGCAGTTTCTGATCTATATGATGATTTGGAAAATTTTGCTTTCTGTCCAGCTGGAAGAGAAATGTGTTTATATGGGGTCCATCTCCAAGCCGAATTGGGGTTTTAACCAGGCAAATGGAAATTTTTAATGAAAAAAAGAGTGCAGTACGTGCATCTGTAGAGTGGTTATTTGCAGATATCATCAACTATTTCAAATTTCTGGAATTTAAAAAGAATTTGAGGGTAGGTTTAAGTCAAGTTGGTAAGATGTAACCTGCCTTTATTCTAACACAACTGCTGAGTCGAGTTGATGGAGTCGACCCTCCATCATTGCAAGACTATTTTCGTTAATTGTAAATTTACAGCTTGAGAACAAAACAAAAGCTACATATTGTACAAAGGAACTTTTAAGAGATACTATATTCAACATGTCTTGTATGACAAAAGGTTAAATATGTTCTCTCCGTTTCTCCATTTTTCAAAAATATAAGATATAACTGTTGTAGCAACACTGGAGCAATCAAAGGGCCTGAAATAACATTAGCCAAAAGAGAATGTTTATGTGAAGCAAAGCTCCAAGTTCAACAAACAACAACAATTGCATCTGAAAGTGTTTCTTTGTAAACAATAACTACTTATTTGTTATTTTTGCAATAACGCCATCAAAACTTTTGACTGCTGCTGTTGCTGCTGCATGACTTTCAGTATGTCTGCTTGTTGCATTTGCATTTGCTGTTCCCTCAAGACCTCCATGCTCCCTCCTCATCTTTATGTCTTCCGCTTTCAGTCGGTCACTTACTTTAGCTCTATCAGCTAAGTATTCGATAGCATCATCTCCACTTCTTCGTTGACACTTCGGTTTATCATCGCTTTCATCTGCTGATGAGTCTCGGCCTGGTCGTATTGAATTTTTATACTACTTGTTCCCTGTGTTTCCTGTAATTCCGCTTTGCCTCTTTTCTCCAACGCGATGATCGTATCCGTTTTCTAATTCCGTTGGCTCATTGGGAGTTACACCAGTTGCTTTTTCTTCGGCTTGAAGTTTCTTCTTATGCTTGTAAACAAGAATTCCCACGTGGTCTCTAACTGATCGCTTATCAACTCTGAATTTCGGCACAGAGTATTTGTTCAAGGTGTCTGCTATTTTTCCCCGCATGCTGCTTCTTTGTGTGGACCCTTTCTTAGTTGTGAAGGGATTTACATTGACGACTTCTCTGCAAAGAATGGCTTCATGGTCATATGTCCAAAACATTACTGAACTAAAGGAAGGTATAAAAACACAATGTGCTAGTTTAGCGGCAGATGAACGCAATAAATCGAGAAATGCAACGGTACAAG